GAAATGTATTGGAAGACCGAGGTGTGAATGCAAGCTGAAAACGCTGTTGCAATCCAAGCCGCACTGAGACATCTCATTTATAATCAGTTTAAAGCACAATAGTCTATTCAGTCAATTTAAATGAAATTAATTTGTGAGCACCTATATACTGAGTGTTCATTGAAGAAGGAATATGTAATTGTATAGTATTAGCAGGCATATTTTAAAACTGCAGACAGCGCCGAATAACTGACTTTCTCACTGCAGTCTGAATTGTTCTCTTCAGGGTGCTCGTGGGAGTCTAGCATTGTCTTAGCCCAAGGTTCTGCCACCGCCTTTCATGTTATCCACATCTGGCTCGAGAGGTAGGCCAAGTTCTGTCCAGTCCGTAAAATGCACTTGCTTCAGTTAAGGCAGTATTTCTGCTGTTTGATGGCAGGGTTATCTGATTTCCGGAGAGAACTGTTGCTGTTTCAGGTTGTCTTTTTGCAAGGGCAGAGTAAGGCTGCTGTGGTCTTTTCAAAGGGAATTGGGAGACATCTATGATAAGGCTGTTTTATTACAATTATTGTGTGGGTTAACAAGTGTCCAGGGTTGATCTGTGATTTGGCTCAGATATCCCACAGAACCTTTGCCCTGCTTAATCAAAATGTCATATATGGATGTATGCGGTTCTGGCCACATGAACAGACTAAAATCCCAATTTCAATATATATGCAATTATGAAACAGATGTAGGTTTAGCATCAAACATTCAGTGAAAAGGTATACAAAAGTATTTTTATATGATTATATTTTAACAGCAATGACTTGTTCTTTGACACACTCCACCTCCCGCCAGCTCTATATCAGGAGTTTCCACCACTGCTTAAGTGGATCTTCTAAAAATTCAACTTCCACTGAATATTGCTGTAATATATCGTAATATGTCATAATATGAGACATCTTAGCAGAAGTAATCCAGGTAATTGCTTCAGTGGTCAGTTAATTTGAACATTGAAATACTGGCTATTATTAAATTGTTAAAGAATATTGCTGAACTTTGGACAATGCCAGGTGGTGCACTTGTATGATTGCTTTGACCAGGATGATCAGTATAGTCAGTATGGACTATAAATTCATGGTACTTTCAGAAAGCATACAGTATGCATTGGTATTCATTAAATCACTATCACATAAAGTATTCATAGGAAACATTAAATTATCATTTAAAAGAGAAATCTCTGTAGTTTTGTTTGTAATCTGTGTATGTTTGCTTTGAGGGTATGTTTCTCTGCAGTTTGTCTAGAAACTCCAAACAAAACTTTAATTTCATCAGGTTTACTTTGATTTGAGACATCAATGTGTATACTTCACGTAAAATCTTTGTTTTAAGAGTTTTTATTAGCCTGCATAATTAATATATGGTGGGGTTACATGTGGATTTCTGCACACATTTAGCCTTTAACCTCCCAATGATAACTAATGGCTTCTATATGATTACAATGTGACATCTGTTAAATAAAGCAAAAAGCAAAAGAAATTAAAGAGTACTGTAAGTTCAACCTTTTGTTACTTCATAAAAGAAGAAATTGCTTGCCATTTCAGAAAAGAAAGCAATTAGTCATCCACTCTTTAAAGCGACTGTATTACTCCATTCTGCTGTTTAAATGCTTTTGTGTTTAATTGCTTTTAATCAATATCTCTTTTAAAAGTGATGATACGGAAAGCCTTTCCATGGTCGAGCGCTTGGTGGAGAAGTCTGAATCCACCTTTCCCAGAGGGAAATAATCACGGGAAAAGTACCAGACTCACATATCAGGTGTAAATCACAGCCAGGAATGCTACAGAGATAAGGTATTGAAGATGTGGGTCAGGATGAGGTCAGTGGTTGCTACAATAGTTGTCTTACAAATGTGTGTGTAAGATGTGTCTAATCTGTTTTATGGGGAAACAAAAGGGATGTGTTTCTTCCATAGATAATGACAAGGTGGATGAATGAGATAATGTTCACCCTGACTTGTTGACTTGAGCCTGAGAGGTTGAGTCACAAAGACCAGAATGGTGTTACAAAAGATGATTCAGAAAGCTTGGTTGGCAAAATCCATGACACCACATACTCTTGATCCAGTCTCTTGGCTTTGATAGGTTTGGGTTGATTAGACAACGTATGGTGAAAGTATAAGCACCTAAATTTGTGGATTAGAAACAAAACCTCTTTCATGAGGGTAACAGCCTCTATCTTGATGTCATCCTATATCCAGAAGACCAGGTTTTTCACATTCCTTTAATCTCGGCAGAAAAAAATGGTGATAAGTAATATCTGAAACTTCCGGTGATGTCCTGTAATATCTGAAACTTCTCTTCAATATCTAAAAGGTTCCAAAAATATGCAAAGCATGCATAAAACCTAACAGCATTTGGATACATAGGATTTTGCACAGGAATGAAAATCCTGGAAAAAGTCTGTTCATGTGAGAAAATTGTAACTTAGTGTTTGATACCAAGGTTGTATAAAGGGAATGTTAATACACCATGATTAGGCAGTGGTGTGCACCCCATGTTAAAAGTAAAGCCTAAATGAAAGTTGGAACACTAGTATGAAGTAATAGCTCAAATGTACGTATGAAATATGAATTTAACTGCACTGTGACACTGTGTTGAATGTATGCCATTCACTAGTTGTGGTTTTTTTTTCGTGAATAGTATTCCAGTTCTGATTGGGAATGATTTCTCAGGGCAACATTTAAAAGGGACTTTGAAGACTCTCTCGAATGCTGCATGAGCCTAGCCATCACAAGCCTATCCATTTTTGCAATAACGTGGACATACTTTTTTATATAAATATAACAAGTAATTATAAGAGCATCTAAAACACTAAATGTAATACTGGAGCGGGAGCCGTATACTGTACTATATCACCAATATGTTCAAACAGTGGTCTTTATTTGGGAGTAGTTACCGAAGAGTAACAGTTTAGCATGTAATGTTAATTTTCTTTAAGGAACGTTGAAGTATACCAATCACAATTTTCTCGTAATTTGACGAGACAAAGCATGCACTTCCTCTTTTCAAGGCTAAGCGCTAGGGAGATAAAAACACGCCCAGCCACGAATCCTCAAATCATGACATTGGGAGCTGAAGAGGAGGGTCAAACAGCATGGGGAAAAACGTGTTCAAGGAGTGAATGGGAAACAACGGGGAATTTGTACAATAAATGCGCGTATACTCACAATCCAGTGGCAATCAACGACAAAGCCAATAATAACTATGACAGGGAGTTGCTCGATTTGGGATGTGTTAGCTATTTGCAGTAGGCTGCATACCTGACCACAACGCAGGTGGAGTATTGTATTTGGTAAAATGATGCACGATTTGGACTGCAAGGGACGTATTGAATGGGATTTAAAAGTAAACAAACATTGTTTTTATTGCATTACTTCTGGTAGGGGAAACAACCGTTTTAAAATTCAGTTTACAAGCTCTCGACCGGCTTTGTTTGTTGCATTGACATGACGTAATGTGATGAGGATCATTAATTGGCCATTCTCACTATTAAACTCTTTGCATAGATGACTGCACAATATTCTTTTAAATGAAAATGTGCATGTAATTATAATAGCAAAATTCGCTTGGTAAATATAACATATTTTCGACTGAATAAACACAGCTTCTACTGTACGGGATTAGTGCATATAAACATTCCCAGGGATGTGATACATTGTCCAATTCAGGGACTGCTCTCACTTCAGGATTCTAACGTACGGCTTTCGAAAGGAGTCATCGGTTGCTGGGTGAGTACAAGCTCTAAAGTACTGTACTGTCGCTACATTTTCGGCCACCTCCTGGTCAGTCGAGAAAGGTTGATTTTGTTTTGACCCTGCAGACTGCAGTCGCTATACTCACCAGAATAATCACACATCCGACTACTGGATATACAGTAGCTGGCTTTATAGATGGCTGAGGTTTTGACAGCCTCCGCCTAATATGTCTGCACGTTGTTGTCACAACTGCCAAGCGATTTATCACTAGATACTAACGCATTGCTCCTCTGAAAAGTTTAATTAGAAATGGACGGTGTGGGGAACACCATGCAAAAGAAGGCTGCGGAGCTGGAACGCATGGCTGAGGTCCTTATCATCGGGGAACAATTAAGGTAGGAGTGGCCGCCTGCTGTAAAGCCATCGTACTGTGTCAATGCCGTGTACACAAAGACAGGCGTGGGGTCTTTCAAAGCGCTCCGATGCATTTGCTTTGTGAAGACAGACTACAGCGTTTGTTTTGAGTTAGGCTACCTGCGACAATTTTGCCTGTTGGCAAGAAAGCTGTACGTCGCTCTTCGGTCTGCATTGTGAGATAGAACGATGTGTTATTCCTGAAGATGCTTCTGTTTTATTTCCACAGTCCAATCATACACGCGGGGATGAGGCAAAGAATTGTAAGGTGATGTGTATTAAAGCGATCGTTGGAGTGCTGCGTGATACATGGTTTTCCTTTGTCAGTCTTTTTTGTCGTCGCACTATTAAAATGCTGTTGCTGCATCCGCACAGCGTGTTGTTATTTTTTATTTTTTTATGAGAAAGTATCTGCTCACATTTGTGCTGTAATTTGAGTCTTCTTACAATAATGGATGGGAAAGTAGAATTAGCCGACCATGACCTGCAGTTTGTGTATGTCATGGATCGAGGTCTTGCAAATGCAAATAGGTAGGGAATGACAAAAGTTGCATGGATGAATTAATTAAGAGCTGAGCGCTTATCAGAAGGAAACAGGGAGTTTAATGGTAGTTGTTTAGTATCACTGGTGGATTTCTGGGCTATCCACTCTGGAGAGAGTTGTTCTTCCAATGACCCCATATTTGCAGGTAATGATTTGCCATTTGTGTCAAATAAGACAATCTTACTATAAGAGCACATGTGATAACAAACTGAAGTCGTCAGTGTAGGCTGATTGTAAGATATAAGACTTAAAGATACTTGAGATTTGAGTTTTAAACACAAGATGATTCTGAAGGAGTTTAAGGAGTTGCAATTGGAAACTGCACCCAGTGTAGCATAGTGGTATGGATCAGGGCTCCTAACCCAGAGGTTGCTGGTTCAGTTCCCTGCTGAGGTATTACTGCCTTTAGCACAGTATTTAACCCCCAATTGGCTCAGTAAATTCCCAGCTATGTAAATGGATAACATGTAAGAATTGTAACTCCCAAGCCCTGTAATTGCTCATGTCTTTCCAAATATGTAGGGAGTAAATGTAAAGCTTAACACCTTCATAGTGTTGTGGTGCATTATTGTGCACTCTAATTTTGAAAAATATCATATATCACCTCAAAATAATCTAGTTAGTTGTGTCAATGGAGGACACAAACACAAAAGTACACAAGCTGCACCACAGAACCACAAGTGATTTCCTACATCAAACAAGGAAATATGGTATGGAAAACTGACAACTTTAGTCTTTAAGAGACATTCTGAATTACTTATGCTTAGAATAAGACATAGAATCTGGAAAAAAAACCCAAAACTTATTGTTGTCCTCCTGCAAGACTTACAACAAAGAGCAGTGATGAAAGTACCATTTATTCTGTCTTGGGTTATGCCAGGTAAATTTGGGGTGCATATACTAAAAATCATACACAAAACTGTTTTTGGCAATTAGTATGAACTGTGTAAAAGTTTACAAAGAGGAGGGCTTGGTTACTGTAGAGAGACAGCAGTATCTGGGTTTTTATAACATGGGAGTGCAGGCTGAGCTGCCAAATGCAGTCCTGGAGACATCTGCCAGCTCAGCACAGCCACGGCATTGAAGCAGTCATATTTCCAAATACTCTTTTGTTTCTCCATTCTGAGACATTAGAAAACCTGCTGAACTGTTTTAAAAGGCACAGCACCACAACCATCAGGCCCATAAAGACGACCCAATTATCGTTCGTCTCTGCAACACATGAATGTACTGCTGCCCTCAATAGGGATAGGAGAGCACACCTGTATGTATGGTCCACAGTCTGAAGTATAAACACTGCTCCATAGGCTCTGAAGTGCTCACGTGCCAACCCAACAGGACTCTCTGTGCACTCTGCTGTAATGCTCCATATAAGTGGCTGCATCTCAGATGTACCCTTTAGCTCTCAACATGTGCTAGCTATTTGGAAAAGATGTGCAGAATTCATAGTGGGACCATACTAAGAGTGAGGAAAGACCAGTCCTGCGGTAAATGTGGTATTTCTGCTTGTGGGGAATGGAACATGAGAGAGCCATTATCTGGAAATGTCAGTGCTTTTCATAGACCACTCAGATTTGCCAGGCAAGGAGCTTCAGTGAAGACTACTCACACATCATATAAGACTTGGTGAGTAGGTATAAATTGGTTCGGTGAACTATATGCCAGTATTTCAGTGCTAGCTTTCTGTTAGCATTGTTTGTGCAACAGTGGCTGTATTACTTTTTTTTTGCAGATTGATCCAGGTGGTATTTCATACTGCATATTAAACAAACCTGCTGTTCACAAGTAACCATAACAGTAAAAATAAAGAGTGGACTGCAAAATATATGACAAGAAGCTTGTGTGCATTTTGGAATTCTCAGTTCCTCAGAGTGGTGGTGCAGATTTTCCCTTAAATACCTTATTTTGTACCACCTACAAAAGTCTGGATTTGAATCGCAAATACAGTTCTTGTGTTTAATATAGGGTGTGTTTTAATGGTACAGGGAAGTTACCGATGACTTGTGCAATGTTACACTTGTGTCAGTTAGCTAGTTTGTTTGTCTTCTTGGCTTTGATATTTGTTGAGCTCAAGGACTCAGCTGGGGTGAGTTCATCTGCTGATTAAGCTTGCTATCCTTGCTGGTTGTCTTTTCCTGGTTGGCTTAGCAGTATGTTTGGCTGCTTCAGTCACACCTGTAATGAGATCTAAGCCAGAAAATATAAGGTTTTCGGTTGAGCAGGCACAGGAATCCTGTCTTATTTGGCTCCTGAGGCAAACTGTGGTCTGCTCATTAACTATCCCCAAACAGACAGGAATAGTCTCTTGAGGCCAATCTGGAGAAGGGAGGTTTTCCAAGGACAAATGTTTCAACACTCTTAAGAAAATGTGTATGAATTAAAAATTTAGGTAAATTTCTACTTAAAAAGTAATAGAAAATGAATCAATTGAAAAGATATAGTCCAAGCTTTCATAAATGAGTTTGGAGATTTCAACATGAATTAAAAACATTTGAATGTTTTCATTCAACGTTTTCAGAAAATTTGCCCTTTGACAGATGGTAGAAAGTAGATATACAAGTGGACTTGAATCAACCAAAGATGTATTGATTTTGATTGAGTGAAAATGTGTGATCCTTTATATCAAATTCCAGGTATCATGTGATTCTGTGCATGTGAATTTGTTTGAACTGCATTGAGCTGGAGGAAATGACATGTGATTCCCTTTTTTGCTGTAGTAGATATTTATTTATGTAAATGGGTTATGGAAAGGGTTAAATATTGAGCATGTTTTTTCCTGAGGGCATTTCTTCCTGAGGGCATGTGCCAAAAAAGCTGCTGTTAATAAATAACAGGAATAAAGTCAGATTAGCAACAGGCCACTGTAGACATTAAACCATCTGTTTGCTTTTATACAGACTCCGCCTCCATGAAGGAAAGGTCATCAAGGACCGCAGACATCACCTGAGGACGTATCCCAACTGCTTTGTGGCCAAAGAGCTGATCGACTGGCTTATGGAGCACAGGGAGGCCTCAGACCGAGAAACGGCCATCAGGATCATGCAGAAACTCCTGGATCACAGCATCATCCATCATGGCAGGTGTTCGCTGTTAAAAGGCACATGCGTAGGGTGATTCCATAAGAAAGTAATAGAACTGAACAGAATGATCTCGATGCTGACAAGTGGAAAATTGTCCACTTGCCCAACAACATACACTGTACACACTGCAGTATAACACATGTTTAGAACAGTGAGTCAAAACATCAGAGACAATTGAGATTCATCAGTCTGTTTCAGTCAATTATGATCCCAATAAATCAAGCAATTAGTCAATCAGTAAATAGTTCAGACTATGATATTTATGTGATATAGTCTTATTACAATAGAAGTCCAAATCCATGCAAACTGAAATTCCATATGAAAATCTTTAGAGAACCTCAAAGCAAAAACTAAGATTGAAAAGCAATGCATCAAAGTGATAGGTTAATCCAGTTAGTTTTGATTTATCCAGTTAAGTCAATTTGAACCAGTGCTTTTTTCTAAGTAGCTCTCACTGTTACCATAAAAGTCAATATTGTGGGTGCAAGGTTAAGGAAGGCATACTTATACATCCCAGTCAGCATTTACCACCAGGTAGACAATGTACATGTTTCTGGTTTGGCTTAAGTTATCTTCCTATTTAAACTGATCTACTTTGAGTTTTAAAAATGCAAGGAAGGAAATTGAAGAGTTTGCCATTGTGGTTACAAAGAGAGTATCATTACGCACACATTTAAAATCGTGGTTGCATTTGGAAGACCTTTGCTGCAATATTTTGGTCTGATGGACATTTGATACAACGAAAGCATGCTTGATTTAGCATCCATGTTCATAGCTATTTTCCAAGTGGTCATGATGAAGAAACAACATTTGTTTGCGTTGCAGTATGTGATGAGCATAAGGATTTCAAAGACATGAAGCTCTTCTACCGTTTCCGGAAAGACGATGGAACGTTCCCACTGGACAACGAAGCTAAGGTGTTTTTGCGAGGACAAAGAATCTTTGAAAAGTATGTACTGAACATATTATTACTCAAAATATGGTGAAAGGATTAGCAAAAGATCAGCAACAGGTATCAGGGAAATGGCAATAAAACACATTTCTAATGGCAATAAAACACATTTCTAAGGTTGTATACCATTTAAGGTAAGATTATAGAAATCCCAATCCATAAGAGCACATGCATAACAATCATTAGCACTGGTGCTGCTGTACCTCACAGGAGTGGAATTGGACCAGAGTGCAGTTATGTAGCATGTTCTCACACAGGATCTAAAAGTCTGATGTCTATAGTCCAAAAGCTGAACATTATCTTTTGTATGAATTACAGTCTGTAGTATTGCACTAGTGGCCTACTCTTCAGTAGCGCTGCATGAATAACCCTGTAATCCAGATGGTACCACTGGCTTCAGTCAGACATGTATAGCTAGTTACCTTGTTGCTCATATAGATGGACAAAGACTCTGACAAAACATTTTGCTTGGGGAGGGGGTATGTGACCTTATTCAAGCCCATTAGTCAAGTTCAATAGGCTACGTTTGTTGCTATGTTACTAGTTTAGTTATTTAACTTGTTAAATATACAAGGAGGATTCTGTCAATCACAGTTTAAGAACAACAGGTTTAAGAGTCTCCATTTTGTTATTGTTTGTTACTGTAGAACAAGAGTGTAGTAAATAGAAGTATTTGGTTTTGTATCTACTTTAGTTGTATGAGTGCTGTTTTTTCCTCCAATGCAAGCTGGCGTAATTTGCCCTCTCTCATCAAGCTTTAATAAGCCCTGCTTATTAATCATTGCTGTTTTTATGAAATGTACTTTCTGGCAGGCCTGTGCTGTATTTCTTGGAAGGTCTAGAAATTATTGTTGTACTAACTAGTTTGTTTGTAGGAGGAGGTGTTGCACTGCCAGTAGTATTCATTGAACAATTTACCTGTCACAATTTCACCCTCTTGTCCCTACTTGTCAGACACCTTTAGAAAAATATTGCTTAAGCAGATATCAGGATACACCTCCATTATATACAGACATCTTGCAGTAAGCAGCTTTAATACTCTGCTAGTGATTTCCATTATGGAATTAATTGACAAATTAGACTTTCATGGGAGCTTTATGAAGGGTAATGTTAAGTTCAGAATAGAATGAATAACTAGGCAGTTTCCCTGGTTGCCATACAGAGGCTGCTGGGAAGTTTTAACCATCTGAATTAGCTTAGTGTCCTGTCTCTCACTGTTGTTACTTTAGAGGAACAACAGTGACAGACACCGGAGCACATATCTTTCCACAGCAGTTGTTTTACCCACAACTGAAATGCATAACCTGGGGGGAAAGTTTGTTTTACCAGGTGAATCTGTCTGTGGCATTTATGTTCAGAATA